GGCCTCGGCCTCCCCCCGCCCGGCCGGGCCTCACCCGCTGCCTCTCGCAGGTTCGTGGAGACCGTGGAGCTGCAGATCAGCCTCAAGAACTACGACCCCCAGAAGGACAAGCGGTTCTCCGGCACCGTCAGGTTCGCCATCCTCTCGCTCCCACCCAGCCTTCGGCGCTGCCCGGCCCTGCCCGGGGCCGCCGCGGGGCCGAACCGCTTGGGGAGTCCAGAGCGCCCCGGCCCAGCGGGAGCGGCTGGACGGACCCTCACCCTGGGTCTTAAAACATGAGGGGAGGTGTGGGAGCCCCCCGGGCTGTCCCCACCGGCCTGCTGTGATGGCAGGTGAGCGGCGGTGCAGGACGCCCCGTGCTGTGGTAAGGTGTCTCCGTGCTGGCTCCAGGGACACGGCAGCGGTGCTGGTAAGGCACTGACTCGGACCTTCCATCCCCAGGCTGAAGTCGACGCCACGGCCCAAGTTCTCGGTCTGTCTGTTGGGGGACCAGCAGCACTGTGATGAGGCCAAAGCGGTTGACATCCCGCACATGGACATAGAAGCTCTGAAGAAGCTCAACAAGAACAAGAAGCTGGTGAAGAAGTTGGGTGAGTGTGGGTCAGGCTCTGGGTACCTTAGCCAAATTGGGAGGGGTCTGAGTAAGCAGGAGGTTTTCTGTCATCTCAGATTTCCATGTCGTGGTTAGCTCCAGGGATAGAAAGCTGAGCAGAGTACCAAAATCTGCCCAGAAACTACCCAGAAAAGCCCCCAAGCTGTTGGCAGTGCAGGTCTGACAGGTCAGTGCGGCAGGAGCAGGGCTGGTTGTCCTGCAGAAGGAAGGAAGGGACATAGGAAAGCATGCCTGTCACAGAGTTTCACCCTTTGCTGTGTTCCTCGATTTTCTGGTCAAGGACTGGGAGTGCAGCAAAAGCAGATAAATGCTGGAGGCAAGAGTGGGATTTAGTCCTGCAGTTCTTACATGAACAGAATAAAATTTGTCTCTTTTCTCTCAGAGAGAAAATCCTTCCTTCCCTGAGAACTCTAGAATCACTTTGGTACGTTCCTGAGGCAGACAAGACCTTGACACTCAATCCATGATCAGCCACGGAACCATGTGCAGTTAGGAAGTGACATGGGATACTATGGCTGTTGGCTAAGCCTCTCGTAGATGGGTCATCCATCCTGGTGTGCACAGGCTGTGGCAGGAGGCTCCTGGCAGAGCTCAGAGTTCAGTGTCACCTGGGGATTAGCAAAGGACAGTTCCTTTAGGGAATGAGCTTTGTGCCGTTCGGAGTCTGTGTCAGGAGTGGGGCTGGGGTCTGGCTGCTGTGACAGTCATTCCTGATAGATTGTTGGTAAAACCAGCCCCTGTCCAGGTGGGACTGTGGGAATGTCTGTTGGGGGAAGTGGAGCTGTGCAGGCTTGGCTGAGCCGCTCTCTGGGAGCTCAGAGTGGGAGCAGAGTCTGTCCTCACCTCCCCAGTTCTCTCCTTGCAGCTAAGAAGTACGATGCCTTCCTGGCTTCCGAGTCCTTGATCAAGCAGATTCCTCGAATCCTGGGCCCAGGCCTGAACAAAGCCGGGAAATTCCCTTCTCTGCTCACCCACAACGAGAACCTGGTGGCTAAGGTTGATGAGGTCAAATCGACCATTAAATTCCAGATGAAGAAGGTAAAGCAGGGCTTTTCCTCTCCAAGGCAGTTCTGTGTCTCTGCTATATCTGGGATGGACTGTAGGTGGCCCTCGAGTGTTTCCTCCAGCAAAGGGAGACCTCTGCTGCCAGTCAGAAAGGAGGAATAATTTTTCTGTCATTGACAGATCTGGAAGCAAGTGTTAGAGGTGGCATCCAGGGGCTACAGGCACAGGGAGCCACAGGCCAGGTGCAGCAGGCACTGGAAAACCCCATGGGTGGGCTGGGGAAGCTGTGTCCAGCTGACAGACCATGGGACAGTCCAGCACATAGATGAGTTCAGGTCGGCACCTTTGCCCATGAAACCTGTTCTGGTGTATGTCCCCAGGTGCTCTGTCTGGCTGTGGCTGTCGGTCACGTGAAGATGACAGAGGATGAACTTGTCTACAACATCCACCTGGCCATCAACTTCCTGGTGTCCCTGCTGAAGAAGAACTGGCAGAACGTGCGAGCTCTGTACATCAAGAGCACCATGGGGAAGCCCCAGCGCCTCTACTGAGGGGGCAGCAATAAACTCTGTGGGCACCCACGACCATGTGTGGTTCTGTTACTCCAGAGCTTGGGGTGGGTTTGCCAACGAGCTGTGGTGAGCCAGGTCTTAGATGCTGCGTTGAGTTGATAGGGATGTGAATTCCAAGTGGTATATGGAGCTTTTCAGGGAAGGGGCCTCTGTGTTCAGAGCAGGGAGGGGGAACGGCTTCACTTGCCCCAGACTGATCAGAGCAGAGGTGTCCCGAGGCAGGTGGAGTTTCAGCAGTTGAACTATGGCCCCCAGATCCCCCTGTGCCCACGTGCAGTGCTCACCTGCAGCCATCCTGCTGCAGAGCCCACAGCCTTAATCTGAGGGGGGCACCAGCTTTTGAAGGTTTTTGATGCTCCAGCCTCGGGTGGGGGGATTCTGCCCAAGGTGCAGCCTGTGAGGACTTGATGGGCATCGTCCAGCTGCCCAGGGATGCCAGGGGATGGAGCTGCAGCCCAGCAAGGGGGTTGGGGCCAAGGGTACAGAGTGTGTTCCATCCTCTCTTCCCTCTGAGCCAACCTATGTCCAACTCCTTATTCTGGGCTAAAAATCAGATTTGTTGCATCTAATTAGTGTGCATAAATAAATACATTGTGCTGGGACTAGTGAGCTTAGGGAAGTCTGAACAGGGAAAAAAAGTACCCTGGGCCCTGGAAAAGCTTGTCAGCATCTGAGGAAACCAAACAATGAAAATAGCTCTGGATCCTGCTGTTAGAAACCTTTCAAATAAGCATCTGAGCCAGTTTTTTGAAAGATCAACATGACACCAAGAAATTCCATTTAATAATTAAAAAAAGACAATACAAAATGCAAACATTTCTTTTTACAAAGTTCAAATACATTTTTCTTTTAATCAAGTGCAAATAACTTCATGAACTACATCTTGCTCATCACTTTAATAATCATTTTTGCTGGAGATGGCAAGTCCTGGCCTGCTGCAAAAGCCAGATATAAATACTCCAACGTGGAAAAAAAACCAAACTCCCAAACCCCCTCATTTCTGTTCACTGTGTTGAAACATTCAGTTCATCCCCGAGGTGCCTGGTGTGGGTTTCAGCCTTTGAAACCCTTTCTGAGCTGGGGGTGGATGGGGGAGTGGGGCTGAGCCACACTGGAGGAGGTGGGTCCGGGGTCCTTGTGGACTTTTTTGGGGTTTTTAGAGCTATTTGGTGAAAGGTGGCGGAGGAGGTGCCATTACAGGAGGACATGTTGCCCACCTCATGCTTCCAGAACTGCTTTAGGGGAGCAGAGGTGGTGGTTGTGATAAGGGTGGGACAGCGAGCCCATGTCAGATCACCCAGAGTTAATGCTGGACTGCTCTTTGCTGGACTGCTGTGGACTGGGGCACCACAGTGGGGTTGGTTATTCCCAGGCTTGTATTTTTGCTGTTGTTTTTTTTTTCTTCTGAATATGAAGGACCCTCTCAAGGGTCACTGCCCTGCACGACTGTTCCAGAGCCACAAAGCCCCTCCAGATCCCTGCAGCAGCTTTTGTGCATCAAAGCAGCTGCTTTCAGACAGCAACCAAGTGGTAAACAGCGCGGCCCACAGATGTGGAGCTTCCAAACAGGCTGGGAGCCGGCAGCAGGAGGGGAAAATCCACAGCTGGGATGAATCAGGACAGACTTTTCCAACTGACACATCTTGGGGACAAACCTCAGCCCCTGTGCCAGTGCTCACCCCACTGGCAGCCCCTCACAGAGCCCGGGAGAGGCTCTTGGAGTGCTGGAGCAGTGTGGATCAAGGAGGGAAAACAGGGATGAGCAGCTGCCTCCTGGATTCAGGAAAGACAGACCCAGTGGGATGTGCAGAGCAATAAATAATTGGTTTGTTAAAAGCAGGGCTGGGCCCACGGGTCCAGGTGTGGGCAAAGGGATGGGGAGGGACAGGCGGGTACAAGGGTGGGAGGGGACCTACCTCTGGCAGAGCTGTAGGCAAGCTGACCATGTTTAGTTCTGACAACTCCAGGTTTTTGAGAGGATGAAGATGGGGATGAAGGCACAGGGAGGTGACAGCTGAGAGCTGGTGACAGGGCTGGAAAGGGAGGGAGGCTCGGGGAGGATGAGGAGGGATGACTGGTGGCAGCAGTCACCTGTCCCTGGGGGTCCTGTCTGCATGCTGGGGATCAAACCCACCAGTGGTGTCCACCCGGCCCTTGCCCCAAGCCAAGCCTGTCTGCAAAGCAGGGGGCAGGCAGGTGGCAGTAAAACAGCAGGTGGCAGGATGGGTCTTTCCTGGGATCTGCACCCCATTCCCTGGGGAGGGGCTTCCACAGCATCCCTGTGGGACGAGCACGTGCAGAAGGACGGAGCCAAAAGCACCTTGGAAGAGAAACTTGGAAGCACAAAGGCTGCCCAGAGGCAGGAGGGCGGCTCTGCCTCCAGGTCTCTCCGTACCTGGGGGAAAAATTTAGGGGCTGAGTGGAGGCGCAGCTCCCCTCTCCTCCCAGCGTGCCCCCCAGACCTGAACTTAGGATCTGCCACCCCATCTTCCATGGTCTTGGCTCATCCCTGAGCCCCTGCAGGAAAGCAGATCAGTTTGCAACAAGCAGATGATGGGCTGAGTTCTGATCCCCCTCGCAATGAGGCTTGGACAACACCCAAACTGTGGCAGATGAGCCTGAAAGGGCACGGCCGGCCCAGCTGCTCCACCCCCTGTGGACGGATCAAGATGCCTCAAACTCCCTGCAAAAACTCACCCCATTGTGCTGAGCAGGAGAGGCACCATCTCCCCCCAGAACAGGGGCCTTTACTGGGGACAAATGTGGCAGAAAAGGCCTGAAGATGCCATCGTGCCGGTCAGTGCAGCCCAGGGCCAGGCTTGCTCTAGGTGGGTGGTTTTTGTTTTCTTGCAAATGCACATTCTCATTTCTCAGGCAGGTATAAATATTGTCATTTCTAGTAGAAAAAAACAACAACTTCCCTCTAAATAATAAAGACTCAAATGATTGCACTTAATACATATGAGAAAGGTAGAAAGGAGTATATCCTAGTGCACAAACATCGACTCCTGCTCTTCTCAAAGCTTGCTTTTCCGAGTTACTCTTTGGCCGAGCTTGTAACAAAGTCTGGTTTCTTGGCACAAGTGTCTGGAGTTGGGGGAAAAAAAAAAATCGAACCCAGCTGAAAGTCCTTCTCCTTTGCTCCCTGTTTTCTCCTGTGCAGCCAGACATTGTTCTCTGGGAATGTGGCTTGGCTGCACTTCCCTCCGAGTGCCAGCCCGGCTCTCCAGCGGGATGGCCACGGAGCCACCACACTGCCATGCTGGTGGGCTTTGCCATCTCTCCTTTACGTTTCCTTTTTAATGAAGTTGGCTTTGTCAATGGTCTTTCCCCCGACCTCTGCAAAGCAGCACCGATGCCCACGGCCCAGCGCTGTGGTGAACACGGCTTCACCTCCTGCACTCCTCTGCGAAGGGCTCTGTGGGGCTGCAGCCGGCACCAGCCCCAAGGGCTGGAAGGACAGTGACCCCCTCAGTGTCCTGGGCTGCCGGTGGCACCAGGGAACATGGACAGACCTGGCGAAAAGGAAACCAAAGGCAGGACAGAGGACAGTGAAAGGACCAGTACTTCAGTTTCCTAAAACGAAGAAGCTGCTTTGAAAAAGGGGAGCGGCTTCGTCCCCAGCTGGATGAGGCCAGAGCATCCCCAAGGCTGGGAGCGCTGCTCTGCAGGGAGCGGCGGGGAAATCGTGGGGAGATGTCTGCGGGATGAGCGGTGGTGATCCTGCCAGAGCCGGGTGGAGGAAGGAAAAATCGGAAAGAAGGAAGGGAGAAGAGGGTTTCCTTGGCTGCGGGGCGGCCTGGGACGGCGGGGGCACGGGGGGCTATTTGTAAGGCCGAAGGAAGCTGGAGACTTTGGAGCGGAGGAGTTTGATGAAGGAGCGGGGCAGCATCTCCTTGTGCTTCTCAGTGTACTTGAAGTAGTTCTGGGGGTGTGCCAGCACATCGAAGAAAGCTTTGATGAGCTTCTTGTCCTGCAGGGAAACCGAGCCAGAGGGAGGTTCACCACCCTGCCTTGTGCTCCCCTGCAGTGGCTCCGAACTGAACCCCTGAGTGCAGGGAGAGCATGAGGCACTCCTGAAGGGAAGGATGTTCCTGCATCCCCTGCAGCCCTGGGCAGCATGGACATGGGGGCACACGCTCACCTTGAGGATCTCCTGGTGGTTTTCAGAGGCGTAGAGTCTGCCATCCCGCACAATGTCCTCCACCAGCTGCTCATAGTCCTCTGCAACACCCAGCCGAAAAACACAGTCAGGGCACACGCTGCCACTTGTGTCCAAGCATCTGGTCCCCATCCCTGAGTCCACTCCCCCCAAAACACACAGGAGATGTCAACTGGGGGTGACCTGGGTCCCAAGCCGGGCAGGGTGGCATCAGCCTGCCAGAATAGTGTCTTCCTGTGTCCTGTGCTCACCGTCATAGGTGACATAGGGGATCTGGAAGCCCCGGGCGCTGTTGGCTTCACTGGTTTTGAAGTTGATCCACAGTTTCCGTGAGCGGGCGGTGAAGGCAATGGGCCTCTCATAGGTCTGGCACGTCTCATAGGTGGTGATAGAGGATGGGGAGGCTGCAGGGAACGGCAAGGGGACACGGGATGCCGGTTGCCCATCAGCAGACCTACCCCCAGCCTTACTGGGCTAAAAGGCTCAGGGTGAAGGGCAGCACCAGGGATGGGGATTGTTCATGTTGGGCAAGGCTGAGCCCCCCTAACCCTCATGTTACATACCAGGGATGTTGTTATTTCTTCCTTGCTCTGGAAAACTCCGAACGGGGCTTTTTACCCACAAAATGTAATGCTGAGACTCAGATGTGCAGCCCAGCCCATCAACATCCCCCTGATCCAGCAAGACACCAGGCCAGTAGGGTGATGCTGATCTCCCCACTCAATTCCCAAAATTCTCCTCCTGCTGGCCGGGGATGTGGCTTTCTCCCTTTGCACAAGATAGCCGTGCCAAACCCCGAACTTTTCCTCCCTCAGCTCCTCCTGTGAGCACCGTGGCCTGCTCGGTTACC